AAAAAAATGGGGCTCCTGAGACAAACCGTTCCAGAGATGGCCTTGGGAAATGGGGAGTAAACCGGTTCACAGAGAAAGCAGTCAGCTACTAACCAGAGATACACAGAACACCTGCCTTGTAGATAAGCCCCTTCCCTACGCTTGCTCAAGGTTAACAAAGAAAGCTGCAAGGCACGTAGCAACCTATTCCTCTCTCCTAGAGACCCCCTCCCCTAATGTATCCCTTTGACCTAGTACTTTTCCACCGACATTACCACTTTTAGACTGCCATACAAGGCCCGCTACTGAAAATTATCCAATGAACTTACGCCAGCCTATAGTATGTTAATTTTGTGGTTTTGCCCTTTAAAAGCTGTGTGAGATAGCTGCTCGGGGCTCCTCTCTCTTGCTTGCTGCTTGCAGCAGTAGAGGGCCCATTTGCGCAAATGAAATAAAATTACCTCCTGTTCTTTTGCATCGTCTGGTCTGGAGTCTGTGTTTCTGGGGTCGTCACAAAAGGACACCGCTTTGGGGGTCCTACATTTGGGGGCTCGTCCGGGATTTGGGGGACCCCAGACTCCCACACTCCATCGGCCTGATGGAGGTAAGTTTGCTTACTTGTGTATAATTGTAATTGTGGTTTGTACTGTTTGTCTTTGTCTGCCAGAGCGACGTGGAATCTGTCCTGGGGCGGTTTGTACTGTTTGTCTTTGTCTGCCAGGGCGACGTGGAATCCGTCCTGGGGCGCCTGTACAGGCTCAGTATTGACTGGACCAGTGGGGGAGACAGACGTGTCCTGAGACCCCTGGTTCAACCCTGGAGGACGCTCCAGTGGTGGTCTGGGAAGGAGGGAAAGAGGGCATTTCCCTTCTTCCAGGGGAGAGCCTGGCCAGACGGCCGCTCCCTTCTGATAGTTTCGGTTTTGTCTTGGTCTGTTGCCGCGCGGCTTGTGATTTGTGTTCTGTGTGTCGCTGTTTTTGTTGTCCTTTATTTCTTACTGTCTCCCCCATCTGTTTTTATTGTTGTGTTTGATTGCTAGATGTATGCTTGTATGAAAAATGTGTATTGTATTCTTATGATGTGTTAATTATGTCTACCTCTCAATGCAACTCTAGGGCCAAATGTAAGGACAAATTTTTGGTATGGAGAGGCTTGTACCTAGATTTGGCTCTGGTAACCAAGAAACTTTGCTGCCGAATGACCTTCTCCTGCTCCTTGGGAGCCTGGCCAGCTCCCAGGGAGGGGGATAAAGGAATGTTTTCTGATAAACAGGTGGGCATGCTTCATGTCTCAGCTTTCTGGCTGAGATCTGGGACGGGACGCACTGCTTGCCTAACATCTTGGCAATGAGCCACCCTTGTCCTTGGGGGCTTTAAGGGGGAGCCGGAGCAAGCCTCTGTTGCTGCTGTTTCATCCTGGGGGAGCACGCAGTCAAGCTGAATGTTAAATGTGCCCGTGATGATTACTAATGATGTTTAATTCTCAGTATGGATCCTTCTCCGGAGCTGTGTGAAGATTGCCTAGTGATGCCCACAGTACTGTAAATTCTACCAAACCTCCTTTGTAGGCTTTGGGGAGGTGAGGATAAATTTTGTTATCTGCATCGTGATGCATGTGTAAGCAATTAGAAAAAAACAGTACAGGATAAATGCAAATTTAAAAACAGAAAATGCTGCCCTTTAGACTCAAACTGCTAGGTAGTGGTAAAAAAAAATTATTTAATTTCACATGTTAAAAAAACCAGGTAAGATCTGAAAAATGACTGTGGATTACAGGAAATTAAACAAAGTTACTCTCCCATTGACTGCTACAGTCCTAGATACCATCATTTTAATGTAAAAGGTCACAAACATAAAAGCGTGTTCTTAATAAGAAAAGTTAAAAGAAAGAAATACTTTTAAATAAAAAAAAAAGGACATGGTTTGTAAAAATTGTTTATCTTAATGGCTGGTTTATACTGAAATGGAAAAAAGGGGGGGAGAAGAGAAAGGTTTGAGCAAGTTACAGAAGGTGTGAAAAAGTTGCAAAATGTTATGGAAAACATAAGTTAAAGCAATAAATTAAAGTAATCTATTATGTTCTCTTGATGTCTCTGTTAAATTCTAACTGTTTAAAAACAGCTGCAAAAAGAGCAGTGTTAAAATGGAGGGATCCTATCACCAATCAATGGAATGGACCTGATCCAGTACTGGTATGGGACATGGACTCCTAAGGGATGGGTTTTTCTATGTAACCAACATGCCTTTACATCATTAGCCTCTGATAATTTCCGCAATTGCTCCCTGGGCCGTGTGGCCCCGATGCTAACATCTGTATTTACAGCAGCGGATAGAGTGTGTTGGCGGTGTGCTTTACCTGAAGACTACAATAACAATCATCCTAATAGGAGAGGACACTGCCCTTGCCATGGCTGTATCAGTAGTCGTGTTCCTGGACTGGCTTTTGGAAATAATCGTGGACTATGAAGGCTTACATGTTTGGTCACCAAAGCAATCAATCTTACTGCTACTGTGCTATCCAATATAGCCAAAGAATTGGATCAAGTTCACTCAGGAGTGCTTTTAAGCCATGCAGCTAACAATTACTCGCTGTTAAAAAAATCATATAAGTTGTAAATCTGTACCTGAGGGATGTTATTTTAGCATTACTAACAATGTGCCATATATAGAGTCTGTTATTGATAAACTTAAGAGTAAAATGCAACATATGTTTATTACTAACCCACCAACCCACTTGGAATGACTGTCAGCAGCTTTTACAGGCCCTCCTGACCACGGAAGAGCAGCAGCGGGTTTTCACAGAAGCCCGCAAAAGTGTGCCGGGGGATGACGGCCGCCCCACTCAGCTACCTAACGAGATTGATGAGGTGTTCCCGCTGACTCGACCTAATTGGGATTTCAATACGACAGCGGGTAGGGAGCGACTCCGTCTCTACTGCCAGGTTCTCCTGACAGGGCTCCGAGGGGCAGGAAGGCACCCCACCAATTTGGCCAAGGTACGTGCGATTGTGCAGGGTAGTGAGGAAACTCTGGCAGGATTTTTAGAAAGGCTAATGGAAGGATACAGAATGTATACTCCCTTTGACCCACAGGCCCCTGACCGGCAGGCTGATGTAATCATGTCCTTCATTGGACAATCGGTCCCGGACATCCGCACAAGGCTACAGAGGCTGGAGGGGTTGCAGGGGTATACACTGCAGGACCTAGTTAAGGAGGCAGAAAAGATTTTCAATAAAAGAAAAACAAAGGAGGAAAGAGAAGAGAGGTTATGCAGAGAACAGGAACGTAGGGAAGACCAGAGAGATAAAAAAAGGAACAAGGACATAGTTAAAATCCTAGCCACCGCAGTCACAGGACCAGAGCAGGCAAAAGGCAGACAAGATAGGGACCTGGGAGACAAACGGAGGCCACGGTTGGACCGAGACCAGTGTGCATACTGCAAAGAAAGAGGACACTGGGCTAAGGATTGCCCGAACAAAGGACAGCCAAGGCGCCAGCGGAGAGCGATGCCCGTCTGGGCGCTGGAAGATGACAACTAGGTAGGTCAGGGCCAGGCGCCTCCCCCTGAGCCCCGGGTAACTCTAAAAGTGGGAGGCCGGCCAGTCACCTTCCTGGTCGATACGGGAGCCCAACATTCAGTCCTCGCAATGGCCGGAGGCCCCCTTAGTTCCAAGACATCATGGGTCCAGAGGGCCACTGGAGGAAAACTGTACAAATGGACTACTGAGCATAAAGTCGACCTGGCAACAGGGCGGGTCACGCATTCGTTTCTACTAGTGCCGGACTGCCCATACCCCCTGCTGGGAAGGGATCTGCTCTCAAAGGTTGGGGCCCAGATCCATTTCCAAGACAAGGGAGCCACAGTAGTCGGCCCCACAGGCCAACCCCTCCATGTGTTGACCCTCCAGCCGGAAGACGAACACTGCCTTCACAAGAGCCCCCTATCAGCTCAGCCCCAAGTAACATCTGAATGGCTTACTAAATTCCCCCAGTCTTGGGCGGAAACGGGAGGAGTAGGGCTGGCTATCAGACAGCCCCCAGTGATAGTAAACCTGAAGCCCACGGCCACTCCCGTATCAATCCGCCAATACCCTATGGCTGCGGAGGCGAAGGATGGAATTCGACCACACATAAAGAGACTGATAAAACTGGGCATATTGAGACCTTGTCGGTCACCTTGGAACACCCCTTTGTTACCAGTCAAAAAGCCTGGCTCTAATGATTACAGGCCAGTGCAAGACCTACGGGAAGTAAACCGTAGGGCTGAGGACATTCACCCCACAGTCCCTAACCCATACAACCTGTTGAGCACCCTGCCCCCGACCCGAACTTGGTATACAGTGCTTGACTTGAAAGATGCCTTCTTTTGTCTAAGACTGAGTCCCCAGAGTCAACCTCTCTTTGCCTTCGAGTGGAAAGACCCGGAGACTGGGTCTTCGGGACAACTAACGTGGACCAGGCTTCCCCAAGGGTTCAAGAACTCCCCTACGCTGTTTGATGAAGCCCTACACCAGGACTTGGCGGACTTCCGGGTAAGCCACCCAGAGTTGACTCTCCTACAATACGTGGATGACCTATTGTTAGCTGCAGAGACTGAGCAGGGTTGCACCAGAGGTACGGAGGCCCTACTCTGTAGGCTGGGAGAGCTAGGATACAGGGCTTCCGCGGAAAAGGCCCAACTTTGCACCCAACGCGTGACCTACCTGGGCTACGTATTAGAGGGGGTCGGAGGTGGCTGACTGAGGAATGGAAAAAGGCCGTAGCGCTCATCCCGCCGCCTAAAAATGCTCGTCACCTCAGGGAGTTCTTGGGCAGCGCCGGTCTCTGCCGCCTCTGGATACCGGGTTTTGCGGAGATGGCAGCATCCCTGTACCCCCTGACCAGGACAAATTCCCCGTTTATCTGGGGAAGGGAACAACAATTAGCCTTTGACAGAATAAAACGGGCCCTCTTGGAGGCCCCTGCATTAAGCCTCCCAGACCCCGCTAAGCCCTTTACCCTCTATGTGGATAAAAAAGGGGGATGGCAAAGGGTGTCTTGACTCAGGATTTGGGGCCCTGGAAAAGACCTGTGGCGTATTTTTCAAAGAAACTGGACAGTGTCGCCTCGGGGTGGCCCCCTTGCCTCCGCATGATTGCGGCTGTGGCCGTCTTGGTGAAAGACTCAGACAAATTGACTTTGGGGCAACCACTCACCATAGTGGCACCCCATGCCATCGAGGCCGTCATCCGCCAACCGCCAGATAGATGGCTCTCGAACGCCAGGGTCACCCACTACCAGGCCATGCTGCTCAACCCTGAACGGGTCCGGTATGGAACTGCTGCCTCGATCAACCCGGCCACCCTGCTTCCTGAGCCGGGGTCTGAATCACAAGTCGACCACGACTGCCACCAAGTGTTAGCCGAAGTGCACGGGACCCGAGAGGACCTGACCAATCTACCCCTGTCAAACGCAGTCACCTGGTATACGGACAGGAGCAGCTTCTTGCACCAAGGTGAGAGAAAGGCAGGGGCGGCGGTGGTTGACGGGGAAACTGTCATATGGGCCTCTGCTCTGCCCCCAGGGACTTCGGCACAGAAGGCTGAACTTGTGGCCCTCACCCAAGCACTTCGTGCCGCTGAAAATCGGAGAGTAAATATTTATACAGACAGCCGTTATGCCTTTGCCACTGCGCATATACATGGAGAAATATATCGGAGGAGAGGGTTGCTAACCTCAGGGGGCAAGGACATTAAAAATAAGCAGGAGATCCTAGACCTCCTACAAGCCCTCCACCTTCCTAAGAAAGTGAGCATCATCCACTGCCCAGGTCATCAGAAAGGAGATGATGCAGTGGCCAAGGGGAATAGAATGGCGGATGAGGTAGCTAGAACAAGAGCCCTGGACAGCGTCACTCTGGTAACGCAGTCATCTGAAACCTCAAATAACCCTGGGTAGTCATATTCGGAGCAAGATGTGACAGCTATCCAAAGACTGGGAGGCGCGTACAACGACCAGCGTAAGGTCTGGGAGATCCAGGGAAAAACAGTATTGCCGAGAAAGGAAGCCAAGGACCTCATAAAAGACCTCCATAGATGGACCCACTTGGGACATAAAAAGTTAAAGGCCCTACTGGACAGAGAGGAACTAACCTATTTCATAATAGGACTGGACTCATTAGCAAAACAAGCGACAGAATCCTGTGTTCCTTGTGCAAAAGTAAATCCAAAGTGTATTAAAGTACCAGAGGGAGCAAGGATGCGAGGGGCACGCCCGGGAACGAACTGGGAGGTGGACTTTACCGAGATTCGTCCCGGTAGGTATGGAATTAAGTATCTCCTAGTATTTGTAGACACTTTTTCCGGCTGGACAGAGGCTTTTCCGGTAAAGAAGGAAACAGCGCAGGTGGTGGTCAAGAAAATCTTGGAAGAAATCTTTCCGCGGTTTGGCCTGCCTAAGGTACTGGGATCTGATAATGGGCCGGCCTTTGTCTCCCGGGTAAGTCAGTTGGTGGCCAAGGTACTGGGGATTGATTGGAAATTGCATTGTGCGTACAGACCCCAGAGTTCAGGACAGGTAGAGTGCATAAATAGAACAAAAAAAAGGAGACCTTAACCAAATTAATGATGGAGACCGACGCTAGAGACTGGGTCGAGTTATTACCAATGGCCCTATTCCGGGCCCGCAACACTCCCTCTGCGTTCGGGTTAACTCCGTATAAAATATTGTATGGGGGTCCTCCCCCAATAGCTGACTTGTTGGGGCCCAGTATTGACTCTTATGTCACTTCCCCCAGTCTGCAGACCCGGCTGAGAGCTCTGCAGCTGATTCAAAAGCACGTGTGGGAACCTCTAGCGGCAGTGTACCAATCCAAGTGCCCTACAGTGCCACACCCGTTCCAGATTGGAGATTCAGTGTACGTCCGCAGACATCAGTCCAGGACCCTCGAGCCACATTGGAAGGGACCCTACACAGTGCTGCTGACGACACCCACTGCAGTGAAGGTCGACGGGATTGCGGCCTGGGTTCACGCTTCCCACGTCAAGAAGGCACTGCCAGAGGGAGAAGGCCCTGCGGACGACTCAGCCAGATGGACACTCTAGCGCACTCAAAACCCCTTCAAGATAAGACTTTTAAAAACTGCTTAATGTTTGTAATCATTAGCCTGTCGCCTGTATTGCTTATGACTCACCCTAGTCTCACCCTATCCAGCTCGTCCCTCTCAAACGCCCATACTCTGCAAAAGCTCACCTGGGAAGTGATCTCCCCCTGGGGTAGCGTGGCCTGGTCAACCAGCGACACTCGGGTCCCAGGGATGTGGTGGCCTTCTCTCCACCCAGACGTATGCCAGATGGTCCTGGGGCTAGATACCTGGGATCTACCCGATCAGGACAGCATCCCTCTGAATCCAACGGGTCCGGTCAGAGACAATCTTCCCTCGGGATGTAGATACCGAAACCGAAGATGCCGATTACTCCAGTTTGTTAGGGATAGGCTGTCCACCGTACAGGCATTAGTCCTCACACAACAGTATCAAGCCCTGGCCACCAGTGACCATATTGAAACCCCTCATTAATGGGCACACAATTTTAGGATTAAAATTAGTTCAAAGAGAAAATGGGGGAATGAAAGAAGCGGCTGTGAGCCACCATAAAAGTAGCCTTAATAAAAAAAAAATGGGGCTCCTGAGACAAACCGTTCCAGAGACAGCCTTGGGAAATGGGGAGTAAACCGGTTCACAGAGAAAGCAGTCAGCTACTAACCAGAGATACACAGAACACCTGCCTTGTAGATAAGCCCCTTCCCTACACTTGCTCAAGGTTAACAAAGAAAGCTGCAAGGCACGTAGCAACCTATTCCTCTCTCCTAGAGACCCTCTCCCCTAATGTATCCCTTTGACCTAGTACTTTTCCACCGACATTACCACTTTTAGACTGCCATACAAGGCCCGCTACTGAAAATTATCCAATGAACTTACGCCAGCCTATAGTATGTTAATTTTGTGGTTTTGCCCTTTAAAAGCTGTGTGAGATAGCTGCTCGGGGCTCCTCTCTCTTGCTTGCTGCTTGCAGCAGTAGAGGGCCCATTTGCGCAAATGAAATAAAATTACCTCCTGTTCTTTTGCATCGTCTGGTCTGGAGTCTGTGTTTCTGGGGTCGTCACAAAAGGACACCGCTTTTGGGGTCCTACAGTTTGAGGTGTATGGTATGTGTGGTGTGTGAGGTGTGTAGCGTGTAAGGTGTGTGGTTTTTGTGGTGTTTTGTGTGGTATGTGGTGTGTGTTGTATGAGGTATATTGTCTGTAGTGTGTGGTTTTTGTGGTGTGTGTTGAGGTGTGTGGTATGTGAGGTGTGTGGTTTTTGTGGTGTGCCACGTGTGGTGAGGTATGTTGTATGGAATGTGTAGTGTGTGTGGTATGTGAAGTATGTTGCATGAGGTGTGTTGTGTGTGAGGTATGTGTGAAAAGTGTAGTATGTAAGGTGTATGGTGTGTGAAGTATGTGCTGTGTGAAGTAGGTTGTGTGTGGTGTGTACAGTATTTGGTGTGTCATGTGTTGTGTGTGCTTTATGTGGTATGTTGTGTGTGGAATGTGTGGTGTGTTTGGTATGTGGTATGTGTTGTGTGAGGCGTGTGTTGTGTACAGTGTGTGAAGTGTGTGGTGTTTGTAGTGTGTGTTGTGTGCAGTGGATAAGGTGTGTGTGGAATCTGTAGTGTGTGGTGTGTGAAGTGTATTTTTTGCAGTGTGTGGGGTGTGTGTGTGAGGTGTGTTGTGTCGCGTGTGCGGTATGTGGTGTGTCTGGCGTGTGCAGGATGTGGTGTGTCTGGCGTGTGCGGGATGTGGTGTGTCTGGTGTGTGCGGTATGTGGTGTGTGTTGTGTCACGTGTGCGGTGTGTGGTGTGTCTGGTGTGTTGGGCAGGCGATGGCGCCCACATGGGATGCCGCGCTTCAGTCCATGGCGTTAACCCGCTGCACCACAGCGCCGGCCCCGAGCCATGGGTCTAAGCAGCAGAGCCTCCAGCAGGGAGTGTCTCCTGGCTGAAGGACAAACGTGGGCTGGGCTGGCAGCCCCATTTCAGTTCAGTTCCCCGAGGAGGGTGTGTAGCTCCCTGAGGCACTGCTGGACCCGGTGCTGGGCTAGCGAGCAGTCTGCCCAGCACTGGGGGCCAAGGCTGTGGGCCTCGGAACTCTTGGGGCTGTCAGATGCGATGTCTTTAGAGCCTTCGATCATGAGAACTGGACACTGGGTGGCTGAGACAGAACTGAGGGACACAGCCCAGTCCCGTGGGAGCACATGCGTGGGTGCTAAGAGCCTAAGTGCTGGGTGGGTCCCTTGCACAGCACAAGAATCCCTAATCAGTCCCTCACACAGTAAAGGTGCCTTGATTCTCCCGGAGTGTGTGGTTTGAGTAGTTTTAATGCTTTTCACAAAAACATGTTGAAAATGACACAGAAATGGTAACAAAACAGCCGAGAGGCTGCAGACTACACTGTTTTACAGAAACAGGCTGAGATAGCAAAGGAAAACTTATGGGTTTGCAGGATACAATTCCTGGCTAAGAATACAAAGTGAAAACTCAGTTATTTTTGTTCCCCCATTTTCGTTTTCTAAAATTTGTATTTATTTGTTTATTTTATTTGTAAGTCAGAGAGACAACAAAGATCACCCATCCACTGGTTCATCCTCTGAACGCTTGCAATGCCTGGAGCTGCTCTGGGGGCAAAGCCAGGGGTCAGGGCAGGAACCCACCCATTTGAGCCATCAGTGCTGCCTCCCAGGGTGTGCATTAGAGGGAAGGTGGAACCTGAAGCAGAACCAGGACTTGAACTTGGGTACTCTGATAAAGACATGGGCATCCCAGTGTCTTAACTGCCAGGGCAAGTGCCAGCCCCTCCCCTGTTTTGTTTTGTTTTATAGAACTCATCTGTTTAAATTGGATCACACATCAACCATTTTCTGGGTTTGCGCATTTACCTCTGTCTCTGCTTTGGCAACAGCAAACCAGCTCATGATGGTGTCAGTGTCAGGACTGCCTAGTCAGGGTATGGGCAGTCAGGCATTCAGAGAGCATGTCAGATGGTGTGGACTGACACTGCATATGTCTGTGTTTTCAACAATGCTGTGCAAAGGCACTTAGCTACCTGAAATTCCAGGCCTATTTTTAGTCATTCAGGGTAGGCAACGTTTATTTCCTTTCAATTACCCCCATTCTAAATTCCACCAAATGAATTTTAATGTTTCTATTATGCATTTTATCTGATGGGGGCCAGCGCTGTGGCATAGTGGGTATGTTAGACCCTCGGAGTGAGGATGCTAACACGTCGAGAGGCACACCCCAAAGACTCAGAGTCCAGACCAGCTGATGCAAAAGCAAGAGGATTTATTTGGCATCTGCGCAGACAGGCCTCCTGAACTCGGGAGTCCAGAGAGCGCCCCCAGCACAAAGCCACACGGTTTATATACCAGCAGCAACCAATCAAAAGCACTATAGAGTCCATGCACACAGCAGTCCAATCTGTGAGCTGATCATGTGAAAGGCATGCGTCTTCTATCCAATCAGCTATGGGATCACATGGGAGGCATGCACCTTGTTGCCATTTTGTTGTTTACTTCTTTAGCAGTTCCTTTCCCTGCCAGCGCCATCTTGTTCACCCTGAGTGGGTCGATGTCTCACTCCCTTCGTTCCCCTGGTGGGAGAGCGGCGTTCCACTTCCCACACCGTTATTTGAGTATTAGGAGGCATACAAACTGGGTTAGGTCTTAGCACAGCCAGGCACAAGTGTCACAGCTAGCTAAGCATAGGGTCCCTTATTTTTATAGCTGCACCTAATTTTAGCTTTGGGGGAAAAAGTTTAGGGCTATAATTTTTAAACTTTAATTTTATTTGGGGCAAAGATAACTTCTTGATTTTAATGGTATTGGCTTAGGTCACTCCATCTTGGTTTGATTTTTAGGGTTC